TAGGTTTTTAATGCTTGTTGTACTGAGCTATATAAAGTAGCTCTCTTGGCAGTTCAGTTACCCATTGTTCGTGTTTAACTTATTTGTTTTTTTTCCTGATTGGAAGTTGAATTCTGAATACAAATGTGACTCTGTCATCTGACTTTGGCCATCTGTCTGAAATGTCTCTATAATCCTCTACCCCATCTTCTCAGCCCTGCTGCTTCTCTTGTTTGTCACAAATGTAACAAAGTCTTCACAAGATGTCTTATGTGGGCCCTTTTGAAAATCTCATGAGGCACTTAATCTGCATCTTTTGACACCTAAATGTTTTTGAAAAATCTAGCCCTTTGTGACCAGAAACCATCCTTTCATACACTGCTCATGATCAATTATAGCTTAATAAATAATTTATTTTATATAACAAATCAATTTGAGATGCAAAACATGTTTTTGTTAAACTGACATATTTAAGTTAGTTTTACATAATAAATTATGGGGACAAGAGTTGGACAATAATTATTTAATGACCTGTTGAAATAAAAAAAGTTAAAGCTTTATAACCATTAAAAACAAATTATCTCTATTATATGTGAATATATGTAAAGTAAATATCCTTAAATCAAACATTAATAAGTTTTTGAGCAGCATTTTTTTTCTACTTTACCTATGTGTATGCTGTGGTTGTTATCAGTGGAAATAGATTTTCATTGGTTTGTGTGTACAATGTAATTGACATTTATTGATATACTGATAAAAACCTAAGCTTTTCAAGCCTATGTAAAGATTGTATTTGGATGTAAATCAACATATAATAGTTGGCAATCAGTGTGAATGAACTTTTCTTTAAGAAAATAAACACAAACTACAAATGCAAAATAAAATTAAAATCCTTTATTTCAATCAAGCTGCTTGCTGATTTAAATTATCAAGATAGGTTATTTAAATCACTTTGATTTAACTCAGTCCACCTTGGTCCTGCTTTTCATTGAAATGAAATTAAGTAAGTGTTCTATGATAGAACATTCTGTCTCCAACACCACAGCCTGATAGTTAGTGGTAAATGTCCAATGACCACAGTCAGTGTATGTATTAGCTTCAGCCTTGTTAGCCAGAGTATCAAGTTGAGATTTTGGTGTTAATTGGTCGGGGGGGAAGGATCCTACTGTAGGTGTCCAATTACTATATTGGATTAATTCATCTGAACTGATGTAAAGCAATTAAGAAATGTTACTTATTTCATATTCACTTTTTCTAATTCATAATAAATTAACTTGTGGTGCTCCAAGCTTGTGGTTACTTTGTTTAAATGTAAAGTATTTGAAACCCAGGAATGATACTTTGTATATTTTTAGCCTTCTTGGACAAATACGATGTTTCTTCTCCAACCCAAAATAAATTTGGTCCTCTGTCTAACTTCTGTTTATTTCATGCCTTTGAAACTTGTGCTCTTTTACTTTTTGTTAAGTTGTCTATCTCCGTTTACTTTGGGGGCATAGAAGGAGATCATCTGTTAAAGAAGATTTCCTAAAGTACCCAAGGAATTTTAGAACATTGACACTTGTCCTGCTAAGTCATTTTGACTGTGGTAATTTTTGTTGTGTACAGGCAGTCCCCGGGTTACGTACAAGATAGGGACTGTAGGTTTGTTCTTAAGTTGAATCTGTATGTAAGTCGGAACTGGCGTCAGCCGCTGCTGAAACTGATCAGTTTCAACCGTGGCTGAATCTGGATGCCAGTTCTGACTTACATACAGATTCAACTTAAGAAACCCAGGCGTCCCCAAGTCAGCTGCTGCTGAAACTGATCAGCGGCTGATTCCAGGAAGCCTGGGGCAGAGCAACTCTGCCTGGGGCTTCCTGTAGTCAGCGCTGGTCAGTTTCACCAGCGGCTGACTTGGGGATGCCTGGGGCAGAGCAGCTGGGATGCTGCCCGGTTGGTCCAGTAGCGCCCAGAGCGGCGCTGTGGGACCAACCGGCAGCGCCCCAGCTGCTGTACCACAGGTGTCC